TGTCATATATGCCGAGTACATCAAGCGGCACTGTGACTTGGATGATGGGCTCTGGCTAGCACACATCATGATTCGGTATAGGCACATTCAAATACGTCTAGAACCCGACGGCTGCTTCCGTCAAGACGCCAAGAAGACTTGCGGCAGCACCACCGATGCCCACAACACCAATGCTTTCGCCCCATGTTCTTCTCCTCGTCTGTCTCTCATCCCTGCGGTCCTTCCGACGCCCGTGTTCGCTGCGATTTGGGTATCGGTGGCGGTTCTCATCTCTGCGTGCCCTCTCCTCTCGTCTTCCACTGTGCCGACGGTTGCGAGTTCTCCGCGAGTCGTTTTCCCGCCTCCTGTAGTGGTCATCGTCATATGATCTCGGGCTCTTGATATCTACCTCATAGGGCTCCGGGTCGAACCGCACGTGGTTTTCATTCTTGTTCTTTAAAATAGGCTTCGGCGCCACTGTGCTGGAAGGCGACGTCTTGTCCTGATTTGGTGGGCTGACAATGTATGGATAGTTCTTTGCATCTCTCGTGGACTTGTCATCGTCGTGATCTGTTGCATCACTTTCATCCCATAAAACACTTCCGTCGTCAATATCTTCGCAGCTGCTCTTTGGGTCACTTCGGTCGCTTTGGCAATGCCGGTCTTGGGACTGCACCAATGGATATTTTTTCGATTGAGCTGCACGATAATGCGCACTCTGTGTGGCATAATCCTGAACTTCCTCTCGAGACAATTTCCCAAGAATGGCTACGTATTCTGGTCGTGCCTCGTAACGGACACCGGCGCGGTCCAACACCCGCAAACTGACCAGTGACCTTGGGATTTTTGTCCAAGTTGCGTCCATGGGAATCGGTCTGCCATACCCATCAGGTCCCAAGCGTGATACTATTCCTGGGCTGGAAGAGAAGATGCCTGGCTGCGCTCCAGGGGCAAAGGGAAATCCCGGCTGTACGTATCCCAGGCTCGAAGATCCGTTCATGGAACGAGAGAGATTTGATTGCCCGATGGACAGAGACGGGGGTTGGCAGCTTCCCGACATCCCAGAAAGCGTTAAGCTTGTGCTGCTCCTCGCACCAGGGGCCTCCAGGTCCGAGCTAGATGGTTGCATATGCATAAGAGCCATATCAGCACCGAGATTATCCATGTTTATCACGTCTTTAGTGCATATTAGAGCAAGTGAGCTTCCCACCTCGCCCGAAGCGTCATCGGGGGAGAAACAATGATTCTCTTCACCATTTTCTGCGGCCACGGGAGCTTGATCAGGCACGTGCCTCGTTTGGTTAATACTGGGAAAATGAGGAGCCTTTTCCACACCAGGTGTGCACAACTCTCTCGGGGATAAAGGCTGCTTGGGCGGAAGCGGTGGTGGTGGCCTCTGCATGGCTTCTTGCTCAAGCAAAACTCGTACTGGTGGGGGAGGTCCGCTGTTAAAGGACGACATAACTCGAAGCTCACGGATATATGCGCGGAGCACATTCTGTACAGGGCAACAGTTTAGCAACGGCGCGACGCAACCAGACGGTAGGTAGGTGTTTGTGGGCGACTAACCTTGTGTTGGTCTAAGATTTGGGGGGAAAATCGTTCCTTCTCAAGTTCGGACCTGAAATCTAGCCACGTGCTATCCTCGTCTTTATTGATAGCGCCATTTATATTCCAACGACGAAACAATCGTGCAGCAATATTGTCGACCCGGTCCTTGATATCCTCCAAGTTGGACTGGCTTCCTTGGGGAATAACCCTGGGGACACCCTTGGCAGGATGATGTAGCTGTATTGTGTCCAGGAACTCATTGACCCTTACCGTCTCGCTGGCAAGGCGAGACCGTGCCGCCACTATTTGATCTGGTTCTCGGCCACTTTCAGCATCAGACTTGCCCAGAGCGACTTGAAGCTGGTTCAGGGCCAAGTTACAGTCTTCAACAATGGATTCAAGCTGACGGGCACAATCAGAAGTATTTGTGCTCCTTAGCACTGAGTCGGGCTCAGCAGCCTCGACTCGTAAATGACGTAAGGTGACGTGTAGTCCCTGTACAGCAGCAGCAACTTCAGTGGAAAGGGCTGACGACTCGTGTTCAACCTTGGCGAAGAGTGTTTTAGCGAGGGCATCGAGGGCGTCGATGTGCTGAAGCACTGTGCCGCCGTTCATAGCTGGATGCCCGGAAGAGCAGATTGTATAAGTCGTCGCTGTCGATGATGCTCTCCCAGGTTTGATGCGGCTAGCTCAACCGCTGGCGTCGAAATGGAAATGAAAATTGAGTGAAATGATTGAAAGGCCCGAAGTCGCGTCGCTGGTGTTGAAGTCGGTGTCCCCCAATGATAATACGGCGTGTACTGGGCTGGGTATACGCAAAAGCTAATACGGGATGAGTCCTCGTGATGGTCGTGTGGGTACGACAAAGTCTTTTGCCAGAGCCAGGTTGTCGACTCATTAGTTGAAGTGCGGCCGACGGCGCACTGATAAGTAGCAAGCAAGTCTGAGAGTTTGTTCGTCATGCACAGATGAGTTCCACAAACGAATAGAGGTACTTTGCACACACTCGGTGAACAAACCAAAAGCACAAATAGGCCGTGTTGATGAGAGTGTGTCCGGAAAGCCCAAGTTTCTGCCTTGTCCCCAACGCTAGAGCTGTGATGGCATGTCAGCGGGCGTGAGCAGGTGCCGCATTGGTGGATGCCAAACAAAAGGCGGCATGCCACCCATGCTACCCTTCATCCACTCTTCGCTTGCCCTTCCTGCCGTTTCTCCATCTCTGTGCGGCGTACGCTCATGACAAGTAGTCAAGGTGTGTGTCCCGGCGTTGATGGCTCAATCGCAGTGCTGCAAGCCCTTATGCGCACTGCCCGCGGAACATTGAAGGCGGCGTATCAGTGTTGGGCTCAATATGCCAATGTAGGCATGGTCTCCAGAGATGGCCACGTCGTGTGACCCCTGTAAGGAACTGAACTGTTCAAGGGCTGGGCGCAGGTCGTTCCCAAGATGCGGAGTCGAAGTTGCAGGCCAATCGTTGACTTCTGGAACACCCTAGATACCCTCCCTGTCAACTCGGCCCAGCCTGGTGACGTCGTCCAAATTCCGGATGGGCACTCCGATGGACATTGGTAGTTGAGTGCTGAGCGAACACTAACAAACACAGGGCCAGACGAGCAGTACGCGTCACAAATGTTGTTCGCACGGAATCCTTGGACTTTTCGATTCATGGACGTTTAGATATTGTAGCCCTCGAGATGCCTCCTCTCATGTCCACGTAGCAGAAGAAACGTCGCAAAAACTTTTGTGTTTGCCCGGCAGGGAGTAACTAGTAGCTCAGCGCTAGTTGCGTGGCTGGCTGTGTCGGTCTAGGCATCGAGACGTGTGAGACAAGGCCATCGGGACATGGTGCTATGTTGAAACTGCATGTCGTTGCGGGCAGTTTGTTTTCGTTACAGACCCAGAAACTCGTAATATTTTCAGGCAGGAGCAGCCGAGCAGCCACCTTAACGTCATGACTCAATGCCCGCCACCTCCCGCCTAGAATTGGGAGACGGAAGGGCCGTCCCAGAGCAACTTGTACTGTCATTTACTTTTGAAATGCGTTCTCGACTCGGGAGTTTGCCATGGACCAAACGTTTTCTCCATCAACCACGAACCCTTCGGCCCTCTACGTCCCGAGGGCGTGCAAGTCATCAAAGGAACGCCCGACGACGAGCAGTCTGGGACCGTGCCTGTGTGTTTATCGTGTCGGACGATGGACACGACGGCCGTCCGCGAATAATCCCCTCCCGCCGCAGCTGCCCTCTGTCTGGATGGCGGGCGTGGACGTTGTTTTTTTGCCATGTTCTGGACGGGGTAATGTCGTTCAGTTACATCAAGGTCCTGGATGGATTCTTGCCCCTGATTCAAGGGGAGCCTCACTTCATCCACGGCATCATGTGCGCTGGGTATGATTTCGTTTTCCAGCCCTTTGGTCTGGGCCCCCCCTTCCTCGGGTCCTAGCAAGACGAACGAATATCGAAATTTAGATCACCGGCCACTAGGCACGCCCGCGTCATCCCAAAGGGGCCCGTGTTCGTCGAGGAGGCCTGGCATGCGCATCATCAAGCATAGCCATGCCAGCAACTCTAGAGCCTAATAGTTGCCTCCGCAGCGCCGCAAAAGATACCTACCTCATGCTCCTTTGTTTCGTCGTCCCCACCAGTCATTTCGCGCAGATTTACCTTGCATGTGCTTGGATCGATTCTTTAGGCAGCCAGGAAAAACCAAACCCAACAATGAGCGACGCCCGGCTCTTCCCAGCAAGTCAGATTTGGGCAGGGCGGCCTAGGGTTCAATAACAAACCCACAGTTGACCAGGTAGTGCAGTGCGTATCTGCAGCGGCGTTGACCAGCTTCCAGAACTCCCTTCCATCGCCGCATTTATTTGCTGCGCCTCTCTGCAATATCTGCGAACCTCGATAGCCAGTTAATCCAATGGCGGAATATCGCACCCAAGCCACGCCGAAAACTATTGGCTGTCAAGATCCAAAGCAGACGAGCTTGACGTTCTGGTGTCCAAGTTGCTTTGGCCTGCACAACCACCACGTCAAGTAAAAGCTGGACCGCCGACAACTCGGTTGCAAAAGCAGCCGACTCCAACTCCCGGCCTCTTCGTCTTCTTTTGTAAGCCTGCCAGACTAGCCTGCAGGGCGACTTATATGTTCGCCTCACTGCAAACAACTAGCCCGAGACCATTACGTCGTCTTGCTTTCCAAAACGACAGCCCATAGAATGCACGGACTATACAGCTGCACCACCGTACTAATGTCACTGCACAAACACACACTTTCTCCGAGCCAATGTTGTTGACGTTCCTCGTGTGAATGTTCATATTCGCCATCCATTCGCGGTGTCACACCCAAGAAATATATGGCCCGTATTTTGTATATACAAAACCAAAACCAAAACTATATGTCAACACCCCTAAACGCCTTGGGTGCATAACTATCCCAACCATCATATGTGCAACCAACATTCCCGTTCCATCCTCACAGCTTTGACAGGACTATCGTTTGCTGTTCGGGTTTCCAGGACGCCATGAGCCAACAGCACCGTGACAACACTCGACAGGTGTGTCTGGGAGTCCTTGCCTGAGCTTTGAGGCATTGAAGCAGAATTCTCAGCCGCACCGGGCGCGTCGTCAATATTGATCCCCTTCCTTATACGGCTGGGACACGGGACACGGCTATGTGCATCCAATCCACGCGGGGCTGCAACATGAGACTGCTCCAATGCGGCTTCAAATAGCCAGCCTCTCGAGTGAGTAAGCCTCCACCTTCTGACTTATCAGATGCCCCGTTTCTCGAGAGCTGCGATTAACAACCTCGCCACCTGATACCACCTTATCTCTGCTAGGGAGTAGCTTCGTCTTCAACCCAAGCGGCAGGAGTCGAGACTCTTTGCCCTCCAAGTGCAAAGGGATGGGTTTCTTTGGGGTCCAAACCTGACGTGCCGCCCAGTTCTTCTCTACTGTAAGCCCGTATCGTACAGCCTCGCCAACAATACCGTTGAGTAAAACAGCTTCCTCCAAGCCCTCCAAGGCTGCAGCGACTTCTAATTTCAGGGCGGTCAAAAAGTCGCCGGCCTCGGTCTTGTCCGCCCAAGTCATAGCATCGTTAAATAACCATCCTCCAGCGCCGACTGCATCCAGGCATCGTCCCAGCAGGTCTGCAATGAGAGTAATGACGCCATCCGGCGGAGCGTCGTTGCCTTCGGAGTCAAGGCTAGTGCAATCCATGTAAAGGGTTGTCCAGGCTCCGCGAACCAATTCCACTCTCAGTATGTAGATGAAGGCCAGCACCTCTTCAGTTCGAATTGTATCACGAAGAGCTTTGACTGTCGCAATGGCTGGAATGCGCCATAGTTTTGTGAATGCCAGAGTCAGCCCGCGGGAACGGCTGCTTGTCTCGTCTCCCAAGTAATGCTCGGTAACGGCAATTTGTCTCTCGAGATCATCAAGGTCCACTTCCTGAGTGTCAGCTTCGAGGGTCTCATTTGTCAAAAGCTTAAGCTTGTTCAGCTTGTTCGTGTCGGGGAGTAAATCCATGCTCAGCATAAGGCTTCTAATTGCAAGTAGCAGCTCTACTTCCCCCAATTTTGTGGCTTGCAGGTAGTTCAGCAAGAGCGTCATGGATGGGTCAGCGTCAGTGAGGCTGTGGATCAAGTCTCTGGCCACGGCTTTGGTCCCCGAGGCTTCCACAGTAAGCACATCGCGAAAGGCTGATATCAAATTGGAGATTGTCAAGTGGCCTGCAACCACCAGGTAGGTCGTGACGTTGCTATCTGGGAGAGCCAAGCGTAGTTCAGGCTTCGATTCGTCAGATGAGGCTGTCTCCACCGAGAAAACTTGGCTTATCGCATACAACACCCATCGTCGGTCAGCGGAGGGGTATGATCCAGTCTTTGTTTGCCAATCCCACTCAGGTAAATCTTCAAATTGTCCCGTGACTGTCTCTCCATTGACCAGGGCAGAATCGGTCTGATTCTTCAGGCCAAATTTTTGTCGTAGCAGGTCTTCCCACTTTCCTAAAGCATTGTTTGCCAGCAATTCGTTGGCTGCCAAGATTTCTTTGTGATACGTGGCCAGATACTCTTCAGTCATGCTTCCAGGGATGAGGCGGGAGAATTCCGCTGACACTGATTCGGCCCTCAATCGTTTTGCCTGCATTTCGAATGATGCTCCTCGCCCAATCGAGTCGATTAATAGACCTCCCTTACGTCGCTTCCCATGGGAATGAGGAGGCTCCACGTGAATAGAGACTAGCATATTGTCAATCAAAGCAACAGCGAGATCTTGACCGCGGAAATGCCCAATCAATAGACAAGATCTTCTTTGCTGGTCGTCGGGTGGGAGTTCAGATAGATCTAAATCAGACCTTCCATGCACAGAACGATATTGGTGATTATACAAGACCATCGAGTCTGGGGATGTTGAGAGAAGGAATGGTCTTGAGAGGCGTATAAAGGAGTGTGTGCCCCTCATTTGCATGGAAGACTTCTTTTTCGGAATAGCACCTGTAAGATCGTAGACACTGAGAACGCCGCTTGCGAGCTCCATGAGGAAGCCCGAGTGGATGTCCACCTCGTAAATCGGTGATTTTTTTTGGAGGGAGACGGCTGGAAGGGGACTGATATCCAGAGTAATCAACTTCTGTAGGCCAGGCGCAGCAAGAGCTCCGCCTGGCATAGCAGCCAAGACCAAAAGGTGGCGGGTTGATATCCCTTGAGCAGCGCTTTTCACCACGACGAAGAGAAGTGAGGGGTCAGCATCTAGAGCTCGAGGCAAAGCGCTAAAAATCTCGAGCCTGTTTTTGAAAATTCCTTCCCTGAAATCGGTTACATTTCCAGACGAGACATACTCCACTTGTAAACTTTCAATGGCTCCTGCAATGACGTCTTGAATGGCTGGCTTAGACAGGGCAGACCACTGCAGGTTGAGGTCTTCGCCTGACAGATAATCAACCTGCCCATCTTCACAGATAGCTACAATATCGCCCATTGTATTTCCTGACGATGACAACGATGTAGTAGATGAGGAACCAGTGATGTGAATCGGGGAAGCTCGCAGGGTCTGAGAAATCGTTGAGGACGTGGTTTTGCCATCTGGATGTACGACATCTTTGAACAACGTGATTTTGTACGACTTGGCATCTTTCGTAGCAATATATGTATACCGATATACGTCGTCGCTATCCGGCCGCCGCAGTCGTATAGAGTACGGGGCACAGGTGAAAGATTCTTGGGGCGGGATGGGATATGATGTGATGAGCCGCGACGCAGGAACCTGTCCTTTCTATTAGCCACCTCGTCGCCGTAAAAGGCTCCTGGGAAAATATGGAACACTTGCATGATATATACTGGCTGTTTCTCCATCAACACCAACAACTAGCTCCATACGCTTCTTCTTCTTTTGGCCAGTCCGTAAACCGTAGACCTCTCGAGCAACAATACGACCGTCGGTGTGGTCAAGAGGGCGGGGCAAAGCTGCCACGACGCATGGCCGATGAATTTTGTATTCAAATGCCATCGCAAAAGTCCGCTCCTGCTGTACGGCAGTGCCTCGTTCTGTCAATGGATGAAAATATTCGGCGCGACGTCCTCCAACGACGTGGTGCTGCGATTCAGGGTCATCCGTAGAGCCAGCTTGAACAAAAAAAAAAAAAATCACGGTGCTGACAGCGGCCCGACGCAAAAGTCCGACGGTGGGGCTGTTTGGACAAGGAGGTGCCAGCAGCGAGTTGGCGGGGCCTGGGCCCTGGGTAAGCACTTAAGTGAAGGTCCACTCTTCCCCCTCGGTTGAGTTGAGTTGCCCAGTGGTCAAAGGCGCGTCTCCCAGAACGCGTCTGGCACCAACAAGCAGCAGCCGCGGTTCCACACAACACTTCCAGCGCAACCTCTAGCATATCGCATTTCAACTTTTACCCAAGGTGGCCAGATGAATCATTATGGCACGTTGAGTATCAGCTCTTCAACGATACTCACCTGAACTGGTTGTAATGCTGGGGCCAAGTTAAACTGGTATGGACTGAGCGTACCAAACTTCTATCCAAGCAGCTAACATCGCCCTTTGCTGAAAAGCTAGCAGACGAGTCACAATACGTCAAATGGGACCTGTTCTAGTAGAAAACATGGGCCAGAGCGGCATTGGTGAACCGTCAACCCGAAAGCTGCATCCTTTCTTCACGAAGAGCGCCTCTGGTCTGATCTCGACCCCTTCAACCTCAAATTATATCACGAACTCAAAACTTGACGGTAGCGACATTTCCACTCCAGTGCTTGATACTGGCGACGACGGTTATGGTGCGAGAAGAAATAAGCCAGAAAGTTCATCACCCCCATGTGCGGCGGATGCAGGCATTCGGCACATCAACTGCGCAGCTAATGCATCAGGAGCTGCACTTCCCGGCCCTCTATTCAACTCTGCTCAACTCTTACCGCCTTCTAAGATTACGGCGCAGGACACTTTCGTACCAGTCAAAAACAAATGCGAGCCGCAATGCCGGCGTAGCCCCGGCGATGTAACAAACCCCAAGGATATCATGCAGTGCACTCTGAGTACGACCAGCATGGACCAACCCGAACGAAATGCGTCATCCCAGGGCAAGAAGGTGCTAAGAATAAATCCTCGAACTGGGACTCTAGGTTCGCCACCCAAGATGAAACAAAAATCTAAGCGCTCCCTGGTGGTCTGTATCAAATACGGTCGGGATGAAAAATCTAGGAGCGAAATTGGTGACAAGGTCACTCGGATTTTGGACGGCAGCCTACACCTTCCGAAGACACCGACAAAGCAGCGTCCAAGCAAGAGTTCAACCAGAACTAGTGATATTCTGGGCAAATCTCCCACATTCACCAAAGGGACTCACCCCTTCTTCTCTGGCAAACCCAAACCTCGTTCCTCAACACCGACCCCATCAACGAATTCGGCGACAAGATCGCCAGCTCAAATAGTCTCGGTATTCATGTCAACACCCGTGTCTCCAAGGAGATGCGCCAACCCATTCTCATCTGCAAATGCCGCGACAGTGCCACGGTTTGGTACTAGGCCTGGAGGTACCAAAATACCTGGCGCCAAGTATCCGATATGGCCAGCGCAGGGCATGTCCCATGTTCGAGGGAATAGCTCCAGCACACTTGGTAGCACAGAACGTAAGATCGACACCAACGGACGATACAAGAAATCCAAAGGACAGGTCACGACCATTGGTCCAAACGAATCCGTGCTGGTCGCTGTTTTCGATAGATTAGATGTCGATGGATTGCGCCGTAGCTTGCCGCAAGACAACGACTCTTTTAGCCCTGCCCCTTCGGAGCTCCGCATCCCACAAAAGCGATGTGAGAGCGGTTTGAAATTACAACGTCGAATACGGTCTCAACTCACAATCACCTCGCCACTGGCATTGGCAGGTGTAGAAGATCCGAGTTTCGACGAACTTGCTGGGCCAGCGCCTCCGTTAGCTCACCCAGCCATCAGGCGCCACTACAATTCCCTACAGACACAACTGTCGGCATATGACAGGTCTACCTGTGAGGGATCCTCCTGGAATCAAAAGTACGCACCAGTCTCAGCATCGCAAGTCCTTCAGAAGACCAAGGATGCCCTTCACGTGAAACAGTGGCTGGAAGGAATGAAGGTTCAATCGGTCGAAACTGGTAGTGGTGACGCGACGGGGGAAAAGGGTAGATCAAAAGCCGAGTCACTGCCGAAGAAAAAAAGGAGGAAGAATAAGGTGGACGAATTCATTGTCGACACTGACGAGGAACAGAGTGGCCTGGAAGAGATATCTGGCAGCGACGGAGAAGAGAATGACAACCCCGGGGGGTCTCTAAGATCTGTCGTTAGAGGCGGCGGTGCAGAGTTCAAGGACCCGGGACGACTGAGAAATAGCATTGTCATCAGTGGCCCACACGGCTGTGGCAAGACGGCTGCTGTGTACGCGATTGCAAAAGAGCTTGACTTTGAAGTATTTGAGCTGAACTCAGGCACCCGGCGAAGTGGCAAGGATGTTGTCGAAAGGGTTGGCGACATGACGCGAAATCACTTGGTTCAACAGCACCGAATTCAGCAGCCATCAGTGGACGGGGGCCCGAATCAAGGCGGCAAGGAGTCGACAAAATCTGGCAAACAAGGCATGATGACGGCATTCTTCAAAGCAAAGGTTGCGTCTGAAACGAAGGCAAGGCCAAAGCAACCAGCGGGCAGTCAAACTCAAAAGCATACTCCGAAGGCTCAAAAACAGTCGCTTATTCTGATTGAAGAAGCGGATATATTATATGAAGAAGACAAGCAATTTTGGACAGTATTGATGGGCATGATGAATCAGTCCCGGCGGCCGTTCGTTATCACGTGCAATGATGAGAGCTTAGTCCCGCTCCAGAGCCTAGACCTTCATGGTATCTTTCGATTTTCCCCAATACCAGAGCCTCTTGCCGCGGATCTGTGTCTGCTCATCGCGGCAAATGAAGGACATCGTCTCCAGAGATGCGCCGTTGAGTCCTTGTATCGAGCGCGCGATCGCGACCTGCGAGCCACCATTTCGGAACTCAACTTCTGGTGCCAAACTGGAGTGGGTGATCGCAGGGGAGGCTCCGACTGGTTTTACGCCCGATGGCCTAAAGGCTGCGACTTGGACGATCGCGGTGATGTCGTTCGAGTTATCAGTGAAGACACATACCAGGACGGTATGGGATGGATCGGACGGGACGCCATCATATCCGAGAGCGACAAGTCGGCCAGAGAAATTGAGGCCTTGCAGCAGTCGTGGAACTTCTGGCAAGTGGACGTGGGCGACTGGTGTGAAGCAAACGGGCCAAGGTCAGCAGTGAAAGCGGCCTGGGACTCGGTCGAGACTGCCGGTGAGGGAGCCATCGCGTTTGAGGCCTTGGACGAATTCTATCAGACGATGAGCGACGCGGACGTCTGTTCTGCGGGTGTGTGCGCGACCTGGCTGCAGGATCGTGTTGATCCTTCGCTTCCCGGCCTTGGCAGCAAGGCGAGGGACGACTTCATAATCGGGCGTACCTTGCTTGAAGCAGACAGCTACACGCATCCAGTCATGCCCAGCCAAACGATTGCCATGGCTCTGCGATCACATGCTCGCGCGCAGTTGCGTTGGAGACTGCACGGCATCCGACCACCATCCCCAGACGAGACCGGGTTGTGTGCAATTGACGAGCGCACCGCCGTTTCGAGGCTCGAGTCATCATTCCACGACACTCGCAGGACCATGAAGCGGATGGACTTGGCCCACGCGTTCGATCCAATTGCCGTGGCGCCCAAAATGCAACCAAGTTCGCACCTCGACCCGTCCGTCTTTGACCGCACGACGCAGCTGATTGTTCTGGACGTGGCCCCCTGGATCCGCGGCATCGTGGCCTTTGAGAATCAGCTCATGCAAGCAAGACTCAAGCTAAGCCGTATTCTGAGTGACGGCGGAGCAAGGAAGCGCATGCGCAATACGAGAAGTGCGTATTCAGCACTCGAGGGTGGGGAACGCAGGAGCACGCGACGGGAACAGTACTTTGGCGACTGTCTTTCGACCGACCTGGTGATGCGCACTGGGGGTCATGATTGGCAGGGGGCGGTGGCGGAAACCGCAAAGGGCGGTGTTTCTGGAGCAGAGATGCCAAATTGTCAACAGGTGATTGCTTCACCACCGGAAGAGATGGTATTGTAACTTGAAAGGCGAGGACTGGCGGGTACAAATTCAATGATGGAGTGGAGCAAATCTTGATGACATCGCAAGTACATAGAAGGAGAATGACAAGAATACCACAGCAGCACACATACACGGAGATCAGCTAGAGCGCGAGCTCAAATATGAAGTTGGCCCCAACCAAGGTGACTTGTTCTGTTTTATTTCATCGCTTGTTGGTGTGAAAACAGCAAACAACGAGCATGCTACAAAGAATGCGCACGCCAGGCGGGTATCGTGGGCCGACGAGACCCGGTAGTGAAATAGCTCTCGTCTCGGGATGTCACAGCCCGTCTCTCGAGCACATATTGAAGTCACGGTCACGACCAACACGCTGCCTCGAACCGACGTCTCGTTGACGGACACCTCTCTCGACAGGAAGCCCCACGGCCGGCCCCGTCCCCTGTAACTGTCGATTGGCGCCCTGTGGCATCATGTCCCGCGGCAATATCAACAACTCCTTGGTAGACTCTCCAACAGGACGGAGTCGACGCTTGGTCCTCGGACGTTCCGTTTCCCCAGTACTTGGATCGACGACGGGCAGGTCCTCTCCGTCACAGCAAGCCGCGGCCCCAATGATCCTACTGCAGCTCTCGCGCCGACGACGAGGAGGGACACGACACGGCCAGCCGAACAGCCAGTGCCCGCCCGACCTGGCCGGCCCCATCGATGCGTCTCCCGCTCGTCGTGGCGGCCGTCCAGCATCGTGCCCGGCGCCATTGCGCTCCCTTCTCGTGCCTCGAGGCCCTCCCACCCTGACGGCATCCGGGCCCGTCGCGGCCTCCTGGCGATACGAACCGCCTGGCGAGGCGTCGTCGTCGCGAAGCCGCCGGCGGCCTTGGTCTCTCTGCGCCGCCCCCCCCCCCGGCGAAGAGAAGAGAAGACAAGGGGGTCAGCGCAGACAAAGACGCGCCTCGCCTCCCCCGGCCGTGGAAGGGCAAACGGCAAACAATGGCCAGGGGCGACGGTCGGTTTGCGGAACAACCATGGGGGAAGGCGGTGTCGGTGTCGGCCAACAATGAATGGCCCACGGGCAAACGCGGTGCAACGCGGATGCGGTCAAGCGCACGACGGCGGGGGATGAATGACTGAGGAGAGAGGACGAGGCGGCGGACCGCGAGGCACAGCCGGCTCGGCTGGGCGTGAGGCCATAATGATCCTTTTATGTGGCCTGACGGCTGACGGCGTGTGCTGATTATTCATTCGTGCCTTGTGCCTCGTGCGCCGCGGCATCGACGGGATGCCTGGGACCGCCTTGGCGGTGGGAGCTGCCGCCGCGTGGACATGGAGGTGATGGCGATGCCCCGATGGCCGTGCGGATCGTGGTCAAGCACGGAGTGCCTGGTATGTACTTGATCATTGATGCCATGGGGGGCAGGCAGTAACTCCAAGTTTTTTGGGCAGTGCAGTGCGTCGTCTCGTCGGCACGGCAAGAGTTTCAGGATTCCCGGTGCCTCCTGCCTCCTGTGGGCACCTGGGCACGGAGAACTGAGCCAACCAAGACTGAAGTATTGAGTACTGGACCACTCGGCCACAGTCTGAGAGGCCGGGACACCGCCTACAGGGTGCCTCCTTCTTTATTTCTTCTTTCTCCTCTTCTCCGTCAAAGGGCGGAGACGACCTTTGCTTGGATACCCGTTTCCGCAAGTGCCTGTCTGGCTGGGGACGGCTTCTTCTTCGCACATACGGGAGAGTACATTGCAAGCGTCTTGGTGTTCGAGACCCTCGGAAGGCTCGGGGGCTCCCTCCTGAGGGGACAGGAACAAGCGCTCACTTGCCACGGAACCTGTTTTACGAGCTGGAACATGTAATATGGCAGTGGGTTGGGCCGGGCCAGGCAGGCAGGCAAGCAAGCCGGTACGGAGGGCAGGGCGGACGGACGGACGGACGGCCGGTGGTCACTGGTGATGGTCCATGGACATACACGACATGCGCCTCGTGCCTGACTCGACAGCACATGCCGGTGGACTCGTCCCAGTGCCGTGTCCGAACGATTTGTGTTCGTTGCTCGCGACGACGACGACTGACGCGGCAAGGTTCGCTTGTCATCCTGGCGTGGACCGAAACTAAACTAGACCGGGGGCAAATTCTTGCCCTGCGTGAAAGAATGAATGAAAAATAATAACTAATAAATGGCCAAATGGCTGTCTTACTTGAGTCCTGCTCTGGCTCACCTGCGATCAAGGCTGACGTTGGAACCGAGCGACTCCGTGCTCATCTAATTTGAAATGGGTAGTTGAATCTTTCCAGACGGCCAGCGCCAACTTCCCAGTCGTGCCCTTGACCTTTTTATTTAATTAAGAAAAATAGAGTAAAATAAAATAGATTGTGCCGCGCAGCATGCGTCCGTCGAGCGTCGAAAAGGACGGCGGGCGCCACCGACTTCAATCTGGTCATGATGAATGTCTCGAAACCTGGGCCGGCTTTGTGGGACGCAGTCACGACAGTGTCTGTCACAGCGAGTCTGAGGGCCCTCTCGTCGCCGGGGCTGTTTGGCCAGTTTCCCGCCCGTTATTGCGGGTCGCGACGAAATGAAATGAAAATGGAGTAAAATAAAAAAGCGAGAGGCTGCATTCCGCACCCAGGCGACGCAAGACGAAACGAGTCACAAGACCTCGACCCCCCCTTCCGCCAATCATGACTATTCCGAGCTGATACAACCTCAGTCAGCGTCGCAAGGGCTTGACGATGCTGCTGCTGCTGCCGCCCTTGGCAAACTCAATACGCACCGGCCAACGCCCTTCAAGGGAAGAGCTCCAGCGTGCTGCCGTCAGTCAATACTTTGGGTTTCACCGGACAAGAAGAGTTCAAGCTGGCGGGAGGAGACGAGGGACCCATGAAGGGCAGGCAGGACACGGAGTCACACGTACGTGCACGTGCACGAGGGAGCAACTGCTCGCCGCCTCCTTCCCCGGCGTCGTCAGTCGCCTCGTGATGAGGGAGGGGAGAGAAGCGAGACAAGACGCAGAGGAGCAGAGCAGAGTAGACGAGGGCCACGACCGCACGCCCTTGGCCAGTAGGTTGGTCGACTGAACTAGTAGTCGTTGCCGACAATTCGACGGCAAACCTATTGACAACTCGATGCTCGGTTCATCGTCGCCCGTCAAAACCAGTGCTCCGTTTGTCCGCGTCTGTGTCGGCGTGCCAGATGCAGCCTTGCCGGGCTGACAGTGCTTGGCCTCTGATAACAATAGGCTCGCCGGGCTTTCCAAACAAAGGATGCTTGCAAGGATCCAAATAGGAATCCATGGCCGCGTGCCGCAATCCCCAGACACGACAGCATCATTCATCATCAACATGGCCAACGAGGCCCTCCTCCGGTACAATGCCTTGTTTGTCTGTCGTTTTGAACTGTCTTTGTACGCTGATGCAACCTTGGATCTGCCGCGTCCTTGCGGCGCACAGCACAGCATCCTTGTACGTAGCTTGTACGTATTCGCATCGAGTCGTCCGTCTTGAGTTTTTAGTCTCTCACAACCCCCGACAACAGGGCTGTGGATGGATAGCGGTTTGGCCGTACTCCGTACTCCGTACTCCGTAGTGGAAACCTTTTGAGAGCACCGAGCAAACCCAAGTCAAACTGTTGCGGCTTCTCAAAAGAGCCGCCACAAAAGACCAGCAATGACGACGACGACGACGACGACGACGTACATACACACAGCCCTTGTCATCTCTTGTCTCCAAGAGGGCGAGGGCGATGACGCTTGGCCATGGCAAGATCTGCAAGTCGAGTTCCTCGGCCCCATGGTCCATCCCATCTGCTCCGGGCATGTGTGCTGACAACATGTCGTCCTTCTCAGGCATTACTGCAACCTCGTACTGCTGCCACTCCTATGAGTACTCCGTAGCAGTTCCTTGGCTCCTACACGTAATCAGGGACACCACACAACCCTGCTCCAAACTTGATAGTACATATGTACGGACTCGCAGTGTATGGACATGCTATGTAATCAGTCAGGGCTTTCCCCAAGGCATATTGGCAACGTGGGAATGGGACCCGGCCAGGCAGCAGCAGTGGTACCGAGTATTCCGGAAAGCAAAAGCAAGCACTTCAGGTTCACACGCCTCGTTGGCCCGATTGGTTTTGGCTTGGGAGGACGCCAGTAGTAATCAGACACCACTCTAATAGTGCGAGCCCGTGATTGTGGCGGATGCTCTGTGGCGGCCGCGATGTGACAGACAATTGTGCCAGACGGATAATAGCTGATACCCCGGCCCTGTCTCTGTCTCTGTCCTGTATTTCGTGTGGTAAATTGTAATATCTAGCTAGGGCTCTGCGGTCGACGACAGTCCGACTTGAGGGTTTTGCGTACGAGTTGCGAGTCAGGGCGGGCGCGTGCTGATGAGAAAAAGAAGCTGCCGATAGCTGCCCGAGCGAGAATATGGCTCCAGCCCTTTTGCCAGCCCAATCAATCACAGCCTCCATCCGACCAACAAGAAGACCTGCATCCTTGGCCCAGACGGAGGAATCGTCCACACGTCCACATCTTGTAGCTCGTGCAACGCCCCACTATTAAAAGGCTCGCTAGGGCTCACCATCTAAATAGGTGAGTGACTTAGTAGGCGTCTCAAAAGCGATTTGCTTTGCGTCTCGCAGTCGCCTTGATCACGTCCCCTCCGAGCCGCGCTTTTTTTTTTTTTTTTTGGCCCAGAAAC